GAGGCCCCAAAACCACAGTTTTGAGGAAAGTAATAAGAAGAGAAGATTTGAAGGTCAATTGAAATGGGAAGGACACTGGCTATCTTTGCTTTTTTTTTTTTTGGCCCAAGGTTAATGAATCCTGCCACTACAGTGAGAAGAGGTAACTATTATGTTTTCCAACGATGTGGGTTTTTTTCCTTTTAAAGTAACACAGCAGAAATACAGGATGGTGATAGCTAGTGGCTTCAGAAAAACAATAAAGCACTTCCTTTGTATTCACTTTTCCTTTCTCTAAGGAACTGAGCTTCAGCCTCTCAGAGGTGACCCTCTCTCGTGTGTTCAAGGAGGATCCCAAGTTACAGCCATATCCCTTGCCACTTCATATACATGCTGTGAGCATTTTGCTATAACATGGCCTGCAGTTGAGTCCAGAATGTTCTATCAGGAAAAGCCTTCTCAGAAAAATCATCACAACTCAGTATGAGGGACTGTTTAATAAGGGAGTTGCTGTAAAGTTACAGTTTAGGTGATGTTGTCAGCATTACGGTTTTCTGTATAATACAAAAAAGAAAAACAGTTTTTACAGATTTCCAGACATGATGAATAAAGTCTAACTAAGATCAAGCTGTACCCAGAAGAAAGTAGGGCAATCTGAAGGTCCAAACTGAAGAAAGCTATGCACCAACAGGGACTGACCTTGGGGCTTGGGGTTGTGGGGGAGCTGGGGCACAGCAGTTGTCTAGGCCTGGGACTCGGCTGGGAATGAAGGGGTTTAGGATTTAAAGACCAGCAGGCTTGGGCTCTGGTAGAGTAGGAAATCAGAACTGAGACCACCTTCTCTCTTTTCCTTCTCACTGTAAGGATGAATTAAAAACAATTGCCTAGTCACACAGCAAGGTGACAAAGATACTCTCTGTGTGCATGTATTTAAAGTCTCCCTTTAAATTTCATAGTCAGATGTATCCTGACATGGATATGGTATTTAAATTTATTTTATTTAAGGATTACAAGGTTGTCTTTGAAGCAAAAAAACAACACTGGGGGGTAGGAGAGTCACTAACTAAATAAAGATAAAATAGAACAATTATTGGGAAAAGATAACTGTAAGTTGCAAGCATCTAAATACAGCATTGTTTTAGGAAACAAAAAAAATTGACAAAATTTCAAAGATAATTGGAGAATTTAGGGGAAGTTTCTAAACACATCATTTGCAGTAACTGATAGTTTAAGATGACAAATGTTACCAACTATATAGATCTGATCAACATAATGAACAAACTTGATCAAAAAGACCCATGGGGAGAAGGCACGTTTCTCCCAAGAACACAAGACACACTTATCAATGATTACATGTTTGACCACAAAGCATGTCTTGAAAAGCAGCAAAGAATCATAAAGATCAGTCTTGACATGCTCAACTATTAAACTCCAGTAGCAGCAATTAAAACCAAACCATATTATTTGGCATGAAAAATATACTAAAAAAAAAATTCATGACTAAAGAAATGTCTCAAGGAAGGGTTTAAGAACAAATTGCTAACTTTAATAAGAAAATCCAACAAGATTGGATTTTTGTTCACTGATAATGAGCAACTAGAGAACAACAGTTTAGAAAATATACATGTGAAAATCACAACCCAATATCTAGAAATAAATCTTCCAAAAGATAAAAAATAATTAGGTATGAAATTTCAAAAATTCTTGAAGATCTAAATATATGGGAAGAGGCCAAATATTGACGGATTTGTAGAATCAATTTATACATTCATTTATACAATGAATGTGTTCCCATTAAAATTCAAACGTGGTTTACTGAGGATCAGAAATTGATTCTAATGTGTGTAAAGGAAAGTGTAAAACCAAGAATACCAAGACAGTTTTGAAAAGGAAGATAAGGACCTCCTCGGTGGCACAGCAGGTTGGGTACAGTGCTGTGAAGCTGTCCGCAACCTCTGCAGCATGGGTTCGATTCCTGGCTGGCCAGGGAGATACCCACATGGCGTGGCAGACCTCTCCTGTCTCGCCTGCTGCTCCCCTCAGCAGTGTATTTTGGTCTTTCTGCCTGTTCTGTTCCCCACTCTGTCTCTGGTGAATCCTCTCACCCTCCCTTGCATCTGGCCTGTGCCCCAGCTCTTGTATAAATAAATAAAATCATTAAAAAAAAAAAGAAAAAGAAAAGGAAGATAAGACTTAACTATGGTAGAGTAATTAGAAAGCACAAGGAGAGAGAGACTACTCTAGAAACAGGCCCACACATATATGGAACTCTGTCTATAGCACAAAATACCATAACAAATCAGTGGGGAAATAAAGACTTTTAGCAAGAGGCATTGGAACAATTGATTATTCACATGGAAAAATAAATTAGATCGCTACATTAAACCATATTTATTTTTTTATTATTTTATTTTATATAATTCTTACATCATTTTTCATTTTTGCACAATGTACGCATTTTCATTTCGGTTATATTCCCCATCCAATTGCACCCCCCCTTATTTTGACCCTAATCCTTCCTCTCCCCAGGGCCCTGCCCCCGTGTGTCTCTGGCATTAAACCATATTTAAACGATTAAAGACCTGCATATGGAAAAAGCATGACTTCATTAAAAGTTTGGGAAGAAAATGAAGGAGAATATTTTTATGATCTCAGGGTAGGAAAATATTTCTTAAATACAAACCATAAATGAAAAGAATAAATTTGACAACATTAAATTAAAAAACATAAACTTTTAACTCTTTTGTATATTTAAAGATACAATAAAGCGAAAAATATAAACTTTAGTTAGACTTGGAGAAGCTATGTGGCATGCACCTAAGAAAGGATTTGTCCCGAAATAAACAGTTTCAATGCAAAAGGCCAAATGACATGAATGAGCAACCTCAAGGAGGTCACCCAATGATTGACCTTGAAACCTAAGAGGTTCCTCCCTCCTCATAATGTCACATAAGTTAAGAAAAAGGAATTTATATTCCATGCTCATTAGGTTGCTAAAAACCTGAAAGGAAATCTGATCATGCCAAACTGTGCCGAGGGGAGCGTAAATGAGCACAGGCACTTTGGAAGATGAGCTTTATTTATTTAATTTTCCCTCAAATTTTATTAATTTGTCAGCTGTTCTGCATAGCCAACTTTGGGGGTACATCTTCACACCTCTATCTTTGTATGTGCTTCACTCATCTTCCACCAAACCTCCTTGCTGATGTCCGGTTCCCTTCTCTCCCCTACCCCACCTTCCCCCAACCCCATGACCAGTATATTTTCACAGAGTGTAAGAAATACCTATGCTGTGCATTGCCAGTTTGTTTTCTTTGGTTATTTATATTCCACAGAGGAGTGAAACCATGGGGTAACTGTCTTTTACTTTCTGATCTCACTTAGCATAATCAACTCAAGAGCCATTCATTTTGTGTTCCAGGAGCATGGGAAACAGACACCCCCAGACACTGCAGGTGGGCATGTAGACCGACACTGGTGGAGGTAATTGAGCAATAGTTACGACATTATAAATCCCCTTTGACCTTGCATAATTTCCTCTATGTGTTTATTCTAAGAAAATGAGCAATATTAGAACAAAGGACTATCTCCACAAAGTTTATCAGAGCAATTGCAGCATTGTTTGTTATATTAACAAAAATAAAAGAAACACTGGTTATTAACACCATAGAGGCTAGTAAACACTCGACTGAAAATGTCTCACGTTATCTAACTGGTTTTAACTTCATGGTACAACGGTGTTGTGGAATATTATACAACCACCAAAATAATGGTGTTGAAACATTTTGATGATGTGGAAACTTGCAACATAAAGTAGGTTACAAAACCATGTATAGACTAGCTCATTAAAAATACCTGTCTAGGGGGGCCACCCTGATGGCGGAGGGGGTTAAGCACAGCGCTGTGAAGCTGTCCACCGCCTCTGCAGTGAGAGTTCGATCCCCAGCAGCCAGGGAGCTACCCACATGGCACTGCAGACCTCTCCTGTCTCGCCCGCTGCTCCCCTCAGCAGTGTATTTCAGTCAGTCTGCCTGTTCTGCTCCCCACTCTGTCTCTGGTGAATCCCTTCACCCCCCACACCTCTGGCCTGTACCCCAGCTCTTGTATGCATAAATAAATAAATCTTAAAAAAAATAAAAATACTTGTCTATGAACTGAAGCATAGACACTGAACCTTTTGGATGTGATAGAGGTGGTTTCTAGTTTCTTCTAGAATTCTTCGGTCTTTATCAGAAATTCTCTGTGTGCTCAACAGACAGCTCCTCCTCAGTGGCCATCACCTGCAGAGGCTGGATGATAGGACCTGATGACCCAGGCCAAAGGCCTGGTCAAAGGGGCCAAAGGGGCTCAGTAAGGCACTTTGGAAGTGGAGAGGATTTGTGATCTTCAAATATGGGGGAACAAATAAGACACAAGTGTAAAAAATAACAACAGCACAAAACACAACAGAGCAAAAATGGGCAATTATAAACCAGAGACATCCTGCAGGGGAGCAGGAGGGAGGGGGGTCAGAGGGAGGGAGGGAGGCGCACAGGGCACTGGGGTGATGGTGCACGGGGGTGCACTGGGGAAGGAAACTCCCTGGGGCTCCCCCTGAGGGGTGGGGGAGCAAATATTGCTTAAAGAACAATCTGGGGAACAAACAGGGAGGCCGGGCTGCCCCGCGGGGTACGGACAGGCTGGGCGCCTGGAAAGCTGCTCAGCTCGCTGACCCCGTCTCGTCTCTCCCCAGCAGCCTGTCGAGGGTCAGCGGCTGAAGTCGGGGTCCGCGCGCCCTGCGGCGCCCCAGGCGCAGGGCGGGGCGCGGGTGGGGGCGCCTGCCAGGTGTCGGCGGCAAAGACACCGACTTAGGGCGCCCAGGGCGACATCCGGGGGCGGGGACGGGGGCGCCCCGCTGGGCGGGCTGGGGCGGGCCCGCCCCGGGCTCTCGCCGCCCCTTGGGGGTTCCCCTGCGCCGGGGAAGTCCGGGTGCCGCGGGCTTAAGAGCGCGGCGCCCGCCCGCGCGCCCCACAGCCGCCAGCATGCCGCGAGGTCTCCAGCTCCTGCTCCTGAGCTGCGGTAGGCGCCCCCCATGCCTGTCGTCCCCCACCTCCCAGAGACACCCCCTTCGCTGGCCGCTCACGCCCCTCTCTCCCCTTCTTGCAGCCTGCAGCCTGGCCCGCGCGGCGCGGGAGGTGAAGGTGGCCTGTTCCCAGGACGCGGAGCTGCCCTGCCCGGCCCCCCGGGACCCGCACGTGGCCTACAATGTCACCTGGGTCAAGGTGAGAGCCGCCGAGACGTGGCTCCTGCGCGGGGTGGGGGCGCGGGCGTCTCCGGGGTGCCCTGCACACCCCGACTCCGGGGCTCCCCACGCGGCTCTCCATGCGCCCCGGATCCTGCGGGGCCCAGGCCCCGGGCACGCTTAGCTTGTGTTCCGCTTCCAACCGCTGCTCGCACCTGGAGGTGGCCCCAGGGGGAGCGAAACAAGATGCTTGGGAAGGGCCGAGAACCTCTACCTGGACGGCTGCTGCACCTGCAGCCCACCTGCCAGGGGCCAGGGGAAAGCCCTGAGGGCAGATTGGGACACGGGGCAGGAGGAGCGCTCTGGGCTCTCTGGTGTGTTGTGCTTTGATGCCCTTAAATTGTAGGGAGGGGAGTGGGGAGTGGACGGTTTGAGAGGAAAGGCTAAGATGTGGTTCAGGCTTGTTTCACAGATAATTACCTGTCGGTCATCCCCTTTCTGGGGTATCCTTGACCTCCCCCTCACCCCTGTTGCTCCCCTCTCTGCAGTTGTGAGGGGTCCAGCAAAGGGGAGGTCCTCACCCACAAGTCTCGCTGCCCCTTCTGCAGGAGGACAGTCTCACTGAGGCTTTTGAAAGCTTTGGTCTCCACTGGAAGATGATCATCCTCCAAGATTGTGCTCTGCGGGCCTTGCAAAGCCCAGCAGCGGCTGCTGGCTGCCGCTGGCCCCTTGCGCCCCTCCTACTTTGAGGTGATGGTCACAATAGCACCTCCAGCTCAAGCTCAATGCATAGGACATCCCAGACTTGCTAGGGGTCACACTGAATCGTGGTGGGCTTACCTTGGAGAAAATCTCGTGTGTGTTAGTAGTTTATCACCACTGCTGGGCTTTCTCCTGCGCACAGGCAGCATACCGTAGGACAGTCCCCACGTGTGTGTGCGTGTGTGTATGTGTGTGTGTCCTCTCCTGACCACTCTGTCCTTTCTGTCTGTTCATGGCAAAGGTTCTCTGTAAATGCAGAGAGTTGTGATGGAGGGTCTGGGGCTGCTGCCTCGGGGCACTGTGTTGTGTGTGAAAGTAGGTTTGTTGTTATTCCTGCTTCATCCCCACCTTATGCACAGTGGGGATAGAGAACACAGTAATCCCACAGATGTTCCTACAGTAAAAACAATTGTATCTTAACAAAAAATATTGCAAAAACAATCTGATTTGTGTGCTTACTATATGCCAAGATCTGAGTTAAATATTTACCTACATTTTCTGTTTCATTCCCTCCCATGGACTTGAGGGACCAGTGCAATCACTGCTCCTACTTTACAGATGAGGAAACTGAGTCCTAGGGCCTGCAGAAGCTGGCGTGCTCTTGTTCCACAGCTGCCTCAATGGCCGAGTTGGGATTTGAACCAAGCGGTCTCATTCCACAGTCTGAGTTCTTAGAGGGCTATGTTGATATTCCTGTTTTCCACCTGAGATACTTCAGGTAAAGAAAATAAAAATGATGCTGGGTAAGCCAGGCAGAAGGGGTGAACATGAAGGCCTTATCCCTTCCGCAGAGTACATAAAAAAATGAAAACAATATTAATATCCCCAGGGGAGTAATTAAAAAGTACTCTTGAAGCAAGTAGATGAAATTTCAGACTGGGAGGTTCAAACCGTTGTCAAGTTAAATCTTCTTGCACAAGGTCATTTAGAATGATCCAGTAAGCCATGGCAATTAACCGTTGGCTTCTTCTTGGATGTCAACTGATGATGTAACTCTATAAAGTAGACGCTTGTTTATTGGACATGGTTCTTGTATAATTTGCCCTGAAGGTCTCTCAAAACTCTGTTAAAACAACAAAAGGACATCAGTCTGTAGCATTCTCTCTCTCTCTTTTATTGGTTCATGGACTAGGGTCATTGAAAAATCATACCGTAGTTATTTTTTTAAGAAGTTAACTGTGATTGAGGAGTGGTGGAGGGGAGAGCTTTGCTATGCTGGCACACTCTTCAGTTCCCTTGAAACAGGTAGAGGTATATTGTTCCTACAAGTGTTTTTAACAGGTCTCAGCATATTCTGTAGCTATTCATTTTGTTTCAGTCCAGTAATTACACTTTGGTATTGATTGTGCTTGTACAACAAAAATGGATAGCGTGTTCTGAAATCAGGCCAGTGGTAAAAAACCGAAATATTTCATTTTTCCAGAAGATTGAGCATCTTGTTGTGCCCCTGATCTTCTTTTTTGGTAAAATGGTTTAGTGAAGTGGAGAAGTAGCTATAAAGTGAGGAATTGGAACCTGGTGGTTGTGGCCAGTCTAGCTTACGTTGCCTTGCTTCGTCATCGCGAGTGTGGTTTGCACCGTCACGGGCTGTGTGCTGGATATTTTGGAAGCAGAGTCACGTGGAGCGTGGGTTGTCACTGTCTTCCAGATTGAATCCGCTTCTTGCATATCACAGTTTCATCGTAATGATTTGCTATGAAAAAGTCCACTTTCCTTTCAGTTCTGCAGCACGACAGAGCATCCTACCACTGTCCACTCGGCACTACTTGTGATTTCAAAAAGGGCCTATGTAAACCATGTGTTTCTTATCATGCACGCTTTACCAAAACCCTCAAAGCAGTCAGCGTCCAATTAGTGCATGTATCAAGAGGGTGAATTGGGAAGGAACTGTATGTATTTCACTCTGTTTCAAAAGTGCAGTGAGAAGGGGCCTGCTGGAACTTAACATAGACATGCACAGGGGTGAAAGGTAGACCCAGAGTGGGCAAAGATACCCCAGCTCTGTTAAGCCAACTCTGCTTTCCTGTGCACCAAGTCCCGCTGAGATTCAGCATGCGTCCTCCTTGTGACTCCTCCCATACTAGACTTTTTGAGGCAGAGTGGGTGATCGAGAATAGCATAGCTATTAGGATAGCAGTTACACTGAACTTTTAAAGTTGGGAGTAGATTGTGACTTGGGAGGTATTTGTAAAATACCTGTTTTGAGGTTATTTTGCGTATTTGCAAAGTATGCAACTACACTGGTACAGCACCTTTCCCCCCTTTGGTTGTGACCTTGGGTTGAATCCCAGCGTCAGAGGACATAGCTCAGTCCCACGTTGTTGTGAGTAAGAACATTCATGAAAGCGCTACGCCTGTGCTTCTTGCTGTGCACCCCCAGGTTACACGCCCTGTAATGAAGCTGCCCTGTGTTTGGTGGAGGGGATGGCACTGAATGGAGCGTTGAGCATGGTTGACGCTCACCATCAACACTAATGAGTGAGTGGTGATAAAGGAGCTGTAGTACCAGCGTGTGCCATGCAGGCAGCCAGACAACCTATGCATAATGAAAGAGGATATGAAGTGTCACCCCTGGGTAACACTGCGGGGGTGAGGACAGAGATGTGTCACAGGACAAGGGCCATTTCAGATGCTTTCCAAAGGAAGGCGGAAAGGGGAAATGAGACTGGTTTCAGAGAAGAGAGCAGATGTGAAGTTTATAGTATTTACAAGAGTCCCCGCTATGGCAGATCACAGCTCTCACGTGGATTTAAAGCAACTGTAGGAGATCAGGCTACTTCAAAAGTCCATGGACAGTGACCATGAGGATCTGGCTTGTCTTTGATTTGTTAGGAAGCTGTCTTCCGTATCACTAATCTCTTCATCTGCCACCTCTACCGTCTTGTGTGGCAATGAGCCACAAAGCCAGGGGTCACTAAAGAGAGCAGAACACATTCCAAGGAGTTAGAGTTGAATGGTCTGGCAGATGCAATCTGGATGGACCCATGGGTGAGTCACTGTTGTCACTCACTACACTTGCTTATTCTAGAATGCCATCTGTTATAAGAAATTTAAGAACACATTTTTTAAGAGAAAAAGGAAACATTTCCACATTAAATGTAGAAGCAATGAAACATTAAAATGTGAGAACAGTGTATATATTAGCATCAGAGAACAACCATACTGTCCCATTGGCATCTATATTACTTGACCTGGTTGAATCAACCATAGGCTGATGCTGAGCATCCGTGGGTTTTATGGGCTCAACCATAGGTCCAACAATGAAAGATATGAGGTTGTATTTCAGCTGTTGCTCATGTTCAGTTTCATATTTAGTGACGATTTCTAAGTTCCAAATATGTGCCAAGTCTCTGGGCCTGGCATTAACCATCCCAAGTTTAACCCAAAATATTTGCCAGATGATTATCTGAGTAAGGGCCTGGACACAGAAATCCAATCCATAGCATTTTGGGGAAACAGTGTGGTAACTAGTGCCTTAAAAGGAAGAGTTAAACAGCAGAGGATTGAGAGATAGTGTCAGAAGGCAGGCTGCAAACAGATAGTGAAGAACCTTGAATGCCAGGCCATAATGACTTGAACCTTATACTTTTGGCAGGCAGGAGCCATTGAAAGTTAGTAAGCAAAGAGAATGACATAATGAAAAATGTCTAAAGAAAAGCATGTTCTTGTGGTGAAGGGCGGAACATGATTCATCCTCAAAGATGAGTCTTGCTTTTATTCCAAGATGAAGGTATTATTCCTTCACTGTCATGAAACGCCCATCAGTTAACTCAAGTAAGATGAACACATTCATGGAACTTACTTGTTTTTCCCTCTTGGTCACCAGTGTGCCCATGTGGTTTTATGTAGGTGTGGATAAGGCACAATGTGGCTGCCTCAGAGGTGGCTGTGGAAAAGTTATGTGGTTTACCAGAATAGTGGATCACTGAGATTTTTGGACAATGATGAGTGGGAGTAAAGTTGCTGAAGTCTTTCAGCTTGCAAGAGGGGAGGCAGGAAGAAGGCAACTGAAGTTAGAAAAAAAAAAGAACCCCAGGGCCTCCCCTGGTGGTGCAGCGGTTGAGCGCTGGGCTGCGAAGCTGCCCACAACCTCTGCAGCACCGGTTCGATCCCCGGCAGCCGGCGAGGATCCCACATGGCGCGCAGACCTCTCCTGCCGCGCCCGCTGCTCCCCTCAGCAGTGTATTTCGTCAGTCTGCCTGTTCTGTTCCCTGCTCTGGCTCTGGTGAATTCTCTCACCCTACCATGCTTCTGACTGTACCCAGTGCTTGTATAAAT